AAAATGCTTGGTTTGGGAATGACTTTTTGACTTTTTGGTTTTTTTGACTTTTTTTGTGAAAGAAGAGTGTAATGATTATGGATTGGATGTGATGTTTTGTTTGTTATGGCTAAAATAGCTTATTTTGTCTTTTGTGACTAAAATAGCCAAAAAAAGCCCATGAATCAACTTGCCAAACAGAGGCTAGCTTGGCTAAATAAATTCTGTTTGGAAAGAATTTTTTGGCATTTTTTTTTTATTTTTTTGTAAAAGAAAAGTGAAATGATTATAATTTACATGTGACATTTTATCTTATTTACTTATTTAGTCTTTTATTTTTTTTGTATTTTTTTAGTCCAAATCTAAACTCAACTCACTTGCCAAATGAGAACATAATGGTTCTCTCATCTTTCAAGCCTTCTCTCATATCACTGTGAGTATACTTCCTTTTCCAACTCTAACTTTTGGTAGTGTCTGAAGTTTGGCGGCGGCGGTGGTGGCAGAGTTAGGTAGCTGCAATGGGGACGACGTTGATAGGAACGACTGACTTTCAAGCAGATCTTACTTTTCAGACCACATCTTTGAGCCTCCGTTTGGGAAGTGGGTTGGCTTTTTGGCTTTTTGACTTTTTTGGCTATTTTAGACTGGGCTAAAAAGCTTGGTTTGGGAAGGACTTTTTGACTTTTTGACTTTTTTGACTTTTTTTGTGAGAGAAGAGTGTAATGATTATGGGTTGGATGTGATGTTTTGTTTTTTTGTGGCTAAAATAGCCTATTTTGTCTTTTGTGGCTAAAATAGCCAAAAAAACCCACTTTAGTTCTTCCCAAACGGACCCTGAGAAGATCGGTAATTTTTTCTAAATTGTAACTAATTTTTTTGGTGAATTTATTTTTCTGTTATTTTTTATTTTTTTTATTTTTTATTTGGATGGCCCTTTAAGATCTTGTTTATATATATTGTTGTTTATTAATATAAATATTTCCCATGTTCTAAAAAAAACAAATAAATAAATAAATAAATTCCCATCTCTCTCTCTCTTCTTATTTATTAAAAAAAAACATATTCATACAAAAAGTAAATTATATGATTCTTAAAATTTTAACAAAATATAGCAAGTTGCATAATTTTAATATAATTACATTAAATTTCTTAATATTTAAATTTATATAACATTTAGATAGTATTTGGTTCATTAGAATGAAACGAAATGAAATGATTATTCCAACAAAATATTCATTCTTGTGTTTGGTTAACTAACAAAAACAATAAAAAATACATTATAAATACAACATCATGCACCAATATAATGAAATGATCATTCCGTAACGGAGCTTACGGAATGGAAGGCCATTCCATTTTATTCCAATAAATCAAATTGAAAATAAGTAACCATTTTTATTAATAATTTATTAGTCATGTGAATAGAAATTTGATTTTATTTCTTTTAGACTAAATGATTCAATGTATAGTTTTGACTAGTCTAGTCTTACCTTATTTATTTGGTATTCACACTATTTACATTAGTTTTGACTAGTCTAGTCTTACTAAAATAATTCAATGTAATTATGTCAAAATTATGAATTTCTAAACTAAGGGGAGGTAATTGCAATTTACAGTACAAAAAAAATGGTAAATTACATTAACTTTGTTTGGGATTTGAAGAAAATATAACAAGTCTCACATTTTTAATATAATTACACTAATCTTCCTTTTATAGTAAGGTTAAATAGACCAAAATTAATACAAAATTTGAAGAGACAAAGATATATTAAATAAAATATACATTTGAATATAAAAGAGATGCAATATCGAACTATAAACTTATGATCTGAGAAACAAGAAAAAAAAAAGTGCTGCTATTAAATTTTTTTAAAAAAAGGATCATACAACTAATAAAATTTTGATAAAAATAGAGATAGAACTTAGGTAAAACTTGTGAGACTAATATATATATATATATTTTGTAAAAGTAATATTAGAGACCCACACATTTATACTAATAAATTCACGATATGACATGAGAGTTGTATCTATAATCATTAAGCATGTAATAAATTAAAAGTTAACACATATCTTACTATGGATACTTTTTCGAGTCTCAATCATTTTTATATTTTAATTGTCAACGAGTCTAATTTACGAAAGAAAAAATAAAATGGTACTTCTAACATCCATACTCTTGAAAGGCTACACCAAATGCACTATTAATTATATATATTTTTTAGTTGTGATTAATTTTTGGGAAATTGACTGGTAAATCCCCTTTTTTGAACTTATGGTCTGGATGGTCCCAAATGTTTTTTTATGTACCACTAAGTCCTCTTGTACATTAAATGACTATAATGCCATTGAGTGTAAACCGGGTGAGGATTTGAGTAATGTGACGTATGAATGTGGTTGGGTGTTACGTTGATAGACTTTGCAATATGGGTTCGAGACACAAGGCGCTCCGACCCGTTAACGTTTGATATCCCCAAATTGAAAACACCATGTAATTGGTATGTAAATGAATGTTGCCCTAAAATTAAGGGGTGAAAAGCGGTGGTTCAAAATTCAAATTCATTCAATTGTTCCCACGGTGTAGATTTGGTGTGGCTTCACACAGATTTGGTGATCTGAAACGTTGCGTCTGGATTCGTTTTGGCGTGTCTGCAATTTTGTGTGTGGGATAAACCCTAACGAGTGGTGCGACGTGACGACCGTGCGACGTTTACGGGAAGAATACAGCGGAGGAATATCTTATTCACAAACGTGAACGATGACTGGTAAACTTAATTAACTGGCTTTGTTTACAAGTTTTATGATGCGATTAGTTTTTACAAAACTTTTTCAGCCATCGACGATGCATGGATTCCACCGTTGTGGTTGGTGATATTGGTTTCGTATGACATGTGTAAGGGCTTATTATGTTGGGCGAAATCAATAGGTTGTTCGTGCGTAGTTGTTTCGGTGGGTTGGTGTGTGGTGTCGCTATCATAAAGAGCAACTGATTTTTCTATTAAAACGCTGAAAGTGGTGGGGTGTGTTGATAGTGTAGTGTGTGTGTGTTTGTGGGGCATCCTTGTTACTTGTCTTTGAGATGTGTGTGGGTCAATAATCAAAGGCGTTTTGTGAATGTCAATGTTACTTTGTGTGGAACGGATCAGGTGTGTCGTCACGTATTTAAATCTATGGTGACGTGAGGGGAAGAGTTGTGTGCGGTTCCAACGTTGTTTGAATGTGGGCAGTTATTAAATGACGATGTGTGACATTAGGTGGGTATAGGTATGTCCATTCCGATATAACTGTGTGAAATGTATTTTTCGTACATTATAAAGTCAAACTTTAATATAAAATGGTATGTGAAAATGTAGTAATGTTGTTACTGTTTCTGGTGGGACATGGTTAATCAAACGCTGTGTTTTAATAAGTATGTGCGACTGTGAAGAGTGTTGTTGTTGTAAATTATGTGTGTGTGGTTTTGACGTTTTATAATATTGTAATGTAGTTACGAACCTTTTCTGTTTGGTAAGTAACGCTAAGCAAACTAATATTTGATTTGTTGTTTGAAATACAGGGGTTAGGAGGACAAACAGTCCATGGACGCGTTCATGTGAGCGTAAACGTTAAGACGCAGCCGGCAAAACAATGACAACCGAACTTGGCGTACGTAAACAAGGATGGATCTTGTTCAAACAGACTAAAATTGTTAATTGTCCAAGTGTCACACTGAAGCTTAATCGCGCGAGGCTCAATTTTCGGTCGAACATTGCAGGCATTGTGAAGTTGGTGAATGTGCTAAATCTGCGAGACGAACACCTTGTTCACCTTAAAAAAACACCGTTCTGGTTGATGTTTGAGGCAATTTTGGTAAATCAACTTGACCACGCGGAGTTTCGCAAAGGGGACGACTTGGTGGTAAATATCATCCGGGCGTACAATGCACGAGACGGGACGTTTCGCATTGGAGGACGAAGTGTGTGCGTAAGCGATGATGACATCAAATTAATTTTTGGGATCCAATGTGGATTTGGGTGCCTTGACTGGACTCCTAGACCGAAGGCACCGCCAGATTTCGTACAACGTAGGTGTCTTAACACTATCGCATAACATCGAAACTGATACGGACGTTACTAGTCGAAGCTGCGGAGGGCAGCACTGTTCGTGATGTTGAAGACATTGCGAAGTTTCTATGTTTATATGCCTGTGGGAAATTATTCTTTTCAAATTCTGGGGAAACAATCAGCTGGGCTCTAATTCGGTATGTGGATAATTTGGATGCAATGAAAACCTACGATTGGACGGGGGCAATCTGTAGCTCGTTGATGAGTTCGGTGAGGGACTTTTATCGAACACCTGAAAAAGTCACCGGATGTGTCGTCACATTGATGGTACGTGTGCTTGTAATTTTTTTCTTAGCTGTCCCATTAATTGCAAGCGATTTGTTATATGTTGTACGTGGTGTAGTCATGTAACTAATTTGCACCTTGTTAATTGTGCTGTCTGATGTGGGGTACAGTATTGGCTTTGTGAGCATTCAACGATCATATCGCCCAAATCTACAGTTGCATTTCCTAGGTTCAGAAATGAGATGTTGCCACATTAGTAACAGCTGCACGTGGGGTCAATCTATCAGGGCGTGTCGGTTTCGAGGTAATAGTAACTGGTAGTGATGATTATGTTATACGGGACATCGTTTCAAAATTGTTCATGACTTTGTTATGTTGTGTTTACAGGTAACATTTGGACATTTGATTATGAAAGAGTATGAGGCTAATATTTTTGAGGTGAATGGGGTAAACTGCGCTAGGCCTGCTGGAAATGCAGTTGAAAATTTTGGTGGTAGTGTGGATGAGGATGATTTTGTGGATGAAGATGATTTTGTGAACATGGGATTGGATGCGAATGTGATGGGTGGGGACATACGAATTTATGGTAGAAATGTGGAACGGGGTTTGTCTTCGGTTCATTTTCGGACAGCAATCAGTAATGTTCCACGAAACGCAAGGAAGGACGTAGTGGATGTTGGGATACATGTTTGTTATGCTACGAAGAAAATTGCAGAACTGGAAATGCAAATCACCGAGAAAGACAAAGTGATTTCAGATTTACGCGCAGAAGTGGACAAACTAAGGCAGGCGAATGAGGTGTAAATGTTGCATCTTGTTGGAGGTTTTGGTTGTTTGATGCAAAATAAGGACGATGAGGTGAAGAAACTCACCACTGAAAACGCTGAATTGCAAAGGGCAATTAAAGTTTTGGAGGAGCAGCTTGCTGAGCGCGAAGTGCATAACGTGACTCAAGCGTTTCGTGCAGTAGACGTGAATGTAGAGGGTGTGAACTATGGTTTGATGGGAAACGAACAAGTTACTGACCTAACAAACAATACGTCCCCAAACAGGGTGTTTGCAGTGATTGGGGATGCAGTTCTAGTGCGGGATGTCATGCTAGTAAGGGAACAGACCAACAGTGTTAGTGAAATGCAGCATGGTGTAATAGCTGGAACAGAGGTGGTAGTTATTAGTCCAAACATGGCTGAAGGTGGTCGGTTGAATGTTTGGAAAAATTCATTTATGTGGGATGTCAAACGCAAAGATAGAAAGGGGTTAACAGTGACAGGGGTTGAGTGCGTGGGTGTAAGTGGGCAGATGAGCAATTCAAACGTGGTGCATGTTCCTCCATCTACAAGTAATGTAGTATGCAATGCCAGAAACAGTGGTAGCACAGATGTAATTGATGTGGACGTACATCTAAAGAAGAAATCAGGATTTGACATTAACAACAGACACGCGGTGTGGAAAATGATGACAGCTGCGGAGAAGAAAAAGATAACCGATGCATATAACAGGGATGGTGATAGGTATGTACATGTAAAGTGTTTTGGTTATGCGTTGCTATCCTAATATGTTTTGTGGTGGATGACGTGTGGTTTGTGTTTTGTGCAGTGCTGTGATGTGGGACGGGCAGGGTCACGGTGTTGCTGTGTATTTCACCGATGTGAAATCTCTTGTGCGCCAATCTGAGATACGGGGGAATGTAAGTCGCGTACAAGGGTATTTATGCAATGTGTTTTGTTTTTTTTCGTATATTTTTTTTTACCAACCATGCAATAATCGAACATGTGAAAATGTCATAGGTGATCGATGCATATGCTGTGCTGTTAAGTGCTGAGCATGAGAGGATAAATGAGGGCGTTGATGCTGCAGACAAATCTTATTTCTTCAGTAGTATATGCATAGTAAGTTTGTGCCTGTAGATGTTATGTTTGGTTATGGAAGGTCATAATGTGTAACATGTTTGCATGGTGATGCAGGACATGATGAAGAACAACAACGTACGCTCAAGGAATAGGTATGTGCTGGATAACCTGCATGCAGCTAAGCTCTTCCGTTACGTACATTTCCCGATTTGCAAAGAATCACACTGGACGCTGGTCGTGTATGACACTGAGGATGGGAGTTGGAAGCATTTTAATTCGATAAGGACGAGGAGCGGAATTGTGGACGTACACTACATAGAGGTGCTTTCCCTGGTAAACATTTGTAAATGTCAATATTTGTGGGTCTGTGTGTGAACATGTAAACTGTGTTGGCTGACGTATGTATGTGGTGGTGTAAAAAAACATTGTGTTAGAGGTGCAGAGGCAAACCATTGGAAATGACTCGGTTGATACTCAGGAGTATGACCCGCCGTTAGAAGCAGTGGCGGACTGTCCCCAACAGCGTCCCGAATCGTAAGCATATTTTAATTTTCCCCTCAACTTGACCTGGTACAATACATGAATTGTCTTAATTTATACATGTGACGTTAGTAACATGCAATGTGATATATTTGGACAGGCTTGACTGTGCTATCATTGTCTGTGCTGTGATGCGCCAGTACATGCGCCATGTGGAAGTTAGAAGATCGCTGTATGGGGGCAATTGCAGTGTGTTGCGGGCGATCATGGTAAAGTCTTTCGTGAATGATCTGGTGCGTGGATTGAAGAGCGATCTCAACTGATTGAGGGTGTGTAGGGATGCATATAATAGTATATAGTTATAATATTAGCTAGTTCGAATATGGGGTTTTAAGATTGTGTACGCTACGATGCGCAAATAATTATCTTTTTGGTTATGTACATTATATTAGTAGCACAGGTTATGGTTTGTTCATATTGTTAGGTTAGTGTGTTGGATGTTTTGTCTTGAATTAACGCGTGACGGGCGTGTACAGCACTATGACTTCAATTAGCTGGCACATTTTTCGGAAAATATTATGATATATTTTGGTTGGAATTCTGTGGAATGTATGCGTAATGTGATGACTGATGTGGTTGTTCGCAACTTGTGTTGTATAGATTTTTCCTCTGAGTTATGCACTGGGACATCCAGTCATGTATAATGTTGCTGGTTGATGGATAATGTCTGAATCAAATCAAGCTGACATTGATTTGCAAGTTAAGTGATGCACATGTTCCAGTCCTTCGAGGTGCATTGAACGTCAGCTGGGTGTGAATGTATGAAAGGGGTGGACAATATGCACGATATTGATTTGTTTTGACGTGGGATGCTGTTGTTTGAGTTAATGTGTATGTAATACGACGTTGAGTAGTAGTTTTTGGCGTGTACTTCATTCTAGCTGTAGTTAGGTGGCATAGTTTTGGAAAATATTATGTTATGTTTTGGTTGTAATTTTGTGAAATGTGTGCGTATTTTGATTTATGATGTGGTTATTCGCAAAGTATGTTGTCTGCTTTTTTTCTCTGAGTTATGCACTGGGACATTCAGTCAAGTATAATGTGACTGGTTGATGGATAATGTGTCAACCCATTCAGACTGACATTGGTTTACTAGTTATATAAGGCACACGTTCCAGTCCATTGTGGTGCATTAACGTAATTTAGGTGTGATTGTGTGAAAGGGGTTGACAATATGCACAACATTGATTTGTTTTGACGTGGGATGCTGTTGTTTGAGTTAATGTGTATGTAATACAACGTCGAGTAGCAGTTTTTGGCGTGTACTTTATTCTGGCTGTAGTTAGGTGGCATAGTTTTGGAAAATATTATGTTATGTTTTGGTTGTAATTTTGTGTAATGTGTGCGTATTTTGATGAATGATGTGGTTATTCGCAAAGTATGTTGTCTGTTTTTTTTCTCTGAGTTATGCACTGGGACATTCAGTCAGGTATAATGTGACTGGTTGATGGATAATGTGTCAACCCATTCAGACTGACATTGGTTTACTAGTTATATAAGGCGCACGTTCCAGTCCATTGTGGTGCATTAACATAATTTAGGTGTGATTGTGTGAAAGGGGTTGACAATATGCGTGACAGTGTGTTAGTGAGATGTGCGCGAACAGGTACGCATAGTACATGTAGGAACGGTTTGCAGTCTTGTGTTCAAACACAAAAACTATGACTACAGTAATATACGGCTTAAGCGAAGGTAGGCAAAGTATATTTGGCTGAAGGTTAGAACGTTACAACAATTGTAATCAAATGGAACTTGTAGGCGAACAAAAAAATTCATATAATAAATTGTTTAAATACTGAATTGTATGTGAGTATCACATTCTTATTTAATGGTATGCACGATGCACGCAACCACTTAAATCGTACTAATATAAATTGGCTTGTCGACGTTTTGGGATTACGTCTAAATGGGTTCTTTGCAAGTCTTCCTATTGTGGTTTCCCATATAACTACACCTTTCACACCGTATTTGTTGCACATTCTCACTTTTAGACGGTATTCTCTTCTTTTTCGGCCTCCCAGGCAGATGTTTGACATTTGGTGGGTAAATGATGTAGTTGGTGGGGCTGAATGGTGGTTTTTCCACAGTTGGTATTGGGTAGATGGTGGGCGCATATGTCAGACGGTATTTGGACACATGGTACCAAGGTATAACTATGTCGTCAAGGTTTTTTCCACTTTTTCGCACTGCAACAATAGCATACGCACATGGAAACTCGTTTATTTGCCACTGGAAACACGAACATGTACGTCTGCCGATGTCCACCATAACAAAAGGGAATGAATGGACCTCGTACACGTCGTTATTCGCTTGACTCACTTTCCACGCCCGACTTTTGTTGTAATCTTTTTCCAGCCGGGATTCCATCTTAGGACAAATTGCGCCAGTCCATGTGTGGGCTGATACCATCCGCTTCGACATTTGTCGCATAATGTGACCCTTGATGCTGTCAACCATTCTGGTGATTGGTAAATACCGTGCTTCTCGAATCCAAGAATTGAATGACTCGGCGGCGTTAGAGCTTATTTCGCCGTATCTTCTACCTCTACAAATGCCAAGGGCAAAAAAAAGTTAACAAGTAAGCATGATCATTTGTTGTTGGGTATGTTCATGTTTTCGTTGCATAACAGGAATATACGTACTTGAAAAACGCGTTCGCCCAGTGTTGTGGATGTGCATCCGCAAGGAATTTCGTAGCAATGGTTTTTCCAGATTTTTGAAATTTGTCGGCCTTTTGGTTAAATGTTGTTATGGTGGGTGCGTATGCGCACTTACAGAATTTGCTGACCAGTCCAATCCGATGCATGCTGTTCACATATCGTAGTTTGTCCTGCAAATTTCTCTATAAATGTTGGAGGCAGAATGCATGGTGAGATGTTGGGAAAAATGTAGGAATTGTTTCTATGAGTCCCACGTTTCGATCAGACACAAAAGTGATTGTCCTGTCACTGGGTACCACGTTGGCAAGATGTTGTAAGAACCATCCCCAATTCACATTGTTTTCAGAGTCCACAATGGCATAAACAAGCGGGAACAAACCTATTACAAAAAGTGATGAGAATATGATTAGCGTGTACAATATTTCGAACCATAAAAATACAATGTTTTAAAAGTGAAATGGGGCACACCTTGATTACCGTCCTTTGCGGTGGCAGCTAGCAGAAACCCTTTGAACCTGCCTTTCAAGAAGGTTCCGTCGAGGAAAAGTAATGGACGACAATGAAGGAAACCATCAATGCATGCTTTGAATGATATAAAAAAACGGCAGAAACGGTAGTTGTGTTCATCGTAATCGGTGTCAACATAACTCCCAGGATTGTATTGCATGACGGCTTCACAATACCAACGCAGTTGGTCGAATGATACAGAATGCGCGCCAAACAATTCCCCCATTGCCTTCTCAACCCCTAACCACGCAACCCGGTAGTTGACGTCCAACCCGTAATCGTCTTTCAAATCTAAGATGACATCAGTTGAACGTATGAGTGGTCTGTCCCGAACACGAGCTGCGATAATGTCAGCAACCATATCAGATCCAACCCTTGGATGATTTGATGTCCGGACGGATACACCGCAACTATGCACATTGTTCCATTTCCGAATGTAGAAAAATTGATTCGCTTTCAACACCCGAGCATGTACAGACCACGTGCATCCCTTTTTCCTCCAACATGGAGCAGACTGCTGTTACCCATACGGAATCGTTCTTAACATATTCGAAATTGAACCCAAACTCCACAGCATACTTGCACAAAACCGTACAAAATTCGTGTGCACCCCCCTCAAAGCATTGCCCGACGTGGGTTAACCCCCGCACCCATGATTCAGTCAGCAATACTTTTTTTTTGTGCGGGTAGAAATCAGGCAACAAATCAACCTCGTCATCACTTTCTCATTGGTCATTAACGATTATTTTGGCCACAGGGTTAGGTTGCATAGTCCGTTGTTCGGTGTACGCACTTACGCTATCCAACCTTCCGTGCTGTTCAACCAACACACAAACGTGTTGCAACCCGAACGATTGGGCAAGAATAACAAGGTTTCCCAAATCCACATCATCTTGTAAAGTAAGACTCTTTAAACCTAGAATGTTGTACGATAATCCCACATTACGGGGACCTATCCCGCTGAACTTCGAACACAGAAAATCGATGAAGTCGGCAAACGTGCCATGATCTCGGAGATTGTAGGCTGTGTTAATGTTCTGATAAGAACACAGCAACATCAAACTCCCTTCCATACCTACGATCACAGACACTGACATGTGTCAAACACATGTTATACATGTAAAAAAACAAAAAAAGTACCAAAACAAAATCAATACAGTAATGAACTGAATAAAAACTGGATCGTCTCACCCCCCGCACGGACGGTGTGGGAAGGGTAAAAATCAGAGGCAGATACATCGCGACAAAAACATAAGTAGAACAATTGTGGAGAGTGTGAAGGACGTACAAACGTGGTAATGAACACACGTCATCTGCAGGGCATATGGCGTGTTAACTATGAAAAAGATATACACGTATTATGTACCTGCAATGATAGCGAACGTTGACGACTGCGGCAGCTCTCACCACCAGCAAAGAACAATGAAACCCTACTTTGCTAACTCACAATAAGCCTTCAGCCCAACCCACGAAAATGCCACACCCATAAACATAGGATCCAACTTGTCAAACGTGACAGAGCAACATATCCCACAAAATATGCACTGAATCCCATTATACACGTACATGCCAATAACAAAAAAGGGCAAATCAGTCTAGTCACACCTCACATAATTTGAAATGGGACTTGCTTGTCTAACAAACGTGCAAAATAGGACTTGCCAATCCAAAAGATTCAATTTAGGACCATAAAGAGTAACAGTTTGGCATATAGGACTTTCTGATAATTTTCCCTTAATTTTTTGCTTTAACTGTATCTTATATTATATTTAATTATAATATATTTTTTAAAAATTGTAATTTTTTATAGGGTAAATTACACTGACACCCACTGAGGCATATGTTTATCACAGTTCTCCTCCTCACCTTTTGGAAATTACATTTCCCTCTATGAGGTTTAAAGTTTTATTACAGATTTTCCCTTGAGTAATTTAATTTTTTTTAAATACTAATTTTGCCCTCACTAGGTAAATTACATTGACACCCCTCACATTTTAGAAATTACAATCCCCTCCTTAAGGTTTAAAGTAGCATTACCAATTGCCCCCTCGGTTAGTATTAGTTGGAAAAAAAAATTAATTAAAAAAAATTTTGTTAGTAATTTTTTTTAATTTTCTTTTAAAAACCAACGTAAACTCATTTTTTGAATTTATGTTTTTTTCTCAAATTTACAAACTGAAACAACCATTTATAAATCAAAAAAATTATCAAACAAGTTTTTATGACAGTTTTTAAAATTTTTGTAAATATAAATTGAAAACTAAAAACGAAATGGTTACTAAACAGGTCTCAGATGGTAAAAATGCCGTAAAATAAACAAACAATTAAATAAGTTACCAACGTAAGAAATGACTTATCAAAAGATTTGTAGGCTATGTATGATTTGATTTTTAGAAAAAAAAATTAAAAATTAAAAATTAATTTGGTTAAGAAATAAAAAATAAAAAATAATTATCATTTAAGAGTAAAAAATAATTATCATTTTAACTTTTGGGCAGGTTATATACATATGTATGGCTGTTTCAATTTAATTTGTAAAAAATTATTTCTAACCACTCGAAAAATAAAAATAATATAAAAATGATAATTATTTTTTATTTTTTATTTCTTAACCAAATTAATTTTTAATTTAAAAAAAATTTAAAAATCAAACCATACATAGCCTAAGAATTTTTTGATAAGTCATTTCTTACGTTGGTAACTTATTTAATTATTTGTTAATTTTATGACGTTTTTACCATCTGAAGCCTGTTTGGTAACCATTTCGTTTTCAGTTTTCAATTTATATTTACAAAAATTAAAAAAACTGTCATAAAAACTTGTTTGATAATTTTTTTGGTTTATAAATGGTTGTCTCAGTATATAAATTTGAGAAAAGAACGTAAATTCAAAAAATGAACTTACGTTGATTTTTAAACAGAAATTTAAAAATTTTACTAACAAAATTTTTTTCTAATTAATTTTTTTTTCAATGAATTTTTTTTCCAACTAATACTAACCAAGAAGGCAATTGGTAATGCTATTTTAAATCTTAGGGAGTGGATTGTAATTTCTAAAATATGAAGGGTGTCAATGTAATTTATCCAATAAGAGCAAAATTGGTATTTAAAAAAATTAAACTACTGATAGAAGAATTTATAATGAAACTTTAAATCTCAGGACAGATGTAATTTTTAAAAGAAAAGGAAGAAACTGTAATAAATATAAATCTCGGGTGTCAGTCTAATTTACCCTTTTTTATAATTATAAGATGCAAAAAGCCCGTAGCGCTCCTCTTTTATAGTTGCCTTGACTGGGGACGAAATTGAAAATAGTTCAGACTTGAGAGAGTCAGAGAGAGAGATCTTCTGCTACGCTGCTACCCTTGCCGACCCCGAGATCTCCACGCCGGTGAGTCCCTATTCTTTCTTCGTTTTTAGGGTTTTAATTTTCACGATTTAATTCATGCCAGTCCCATTATGTTCATTATTCACTGTTCATCTCATATAATCTGTATATATATTGACGAATGTGCGTGTTGTTCACAATAGATTTTTTTCTTTGAATCTGCTAGGTTTTGCGTTCTGTGCCCTGGAATATGGTATTTCACTCTACGAACTATGTCTTTTTTTTAGGGTTTTTTTTAATTGATTTTTTACTTTAGATTGTTTGCACTTATTATTCAATTTTTAATTGGTGTTCAGCTTCCGCTTTCTCTACTCAAGACCGCTCAAGGTCACCCTATGGTAAGATCATCTCTGTTCTTGCTCTTTTCTATTTACTCTACTTCTGCTTGGGTTCTGTTTGCTTCCATCGAAAATACTTGAGAAAATTTATAACCAAGTCCTTAATTAATAGCCCTATCAACATTGTGTTTAGTGTTAATAGGATGCAATGAAAATTGTATGGAAAAAGTAGAACTTATTATATCTCTTCCCCAAAATCGCAAATCTGTTTCACTGTTAATCTTTGAGCTAGTGCAACCCTCATGTTTAGTTTCCACCCTGAATGGACTACCGGTGATAAGCTGGAGCAATGCTTGAAAACCCAGACTGGACCGGCTGGCCGGACCGGTTGAACCGGTGACCAGATGACCCTCCAAACCCAGACTATGCTCAAAATTGGCTTAGAATTTGAAAATCGGAATAACCGGCGAAATAGTCACAGATCGACGGAACTGACCGTTTGAAGAATTGAAGTTTTTGGAGAAGGTTTGAATATGGAATCAAGTGCATAAAAAATAAGCACTCTAACCACTAAGTCATCAACGCTATTGGTGACAATGTAATAAGTATATATATTATATATTCAATATTATCTTAATTATTTTTACTAAAAATAAATGTATAAAAAACAATTTTAAGAAATATATATATATTTTTGTAATTGTTTATTATTATTATTATTTTTTTTTTGTAATTTTGATATCTATATTTTTTATACTTATAAATTGTAATATATTTATGACATAATTATGACATTACGGTTCAATTCTGGTTCACCCACAGTTGAACCAGTGACTTGTTCGCCTGGTTACTTTTTTGGTTCGCTCACCAATCTGATTTCCAAAACATTGAGCTAGACGAAGGTGAGGATGATGGACGTAGTCATCATGTCCCTTTTGCCTTGGGCTGGACAGGTATTACAATGGACTGGAAAATTTATTTTTATCTCATCACTTTGCCTCAAAAGTGGCCATGTTTGGTGTGTCTTTTTAGAAAAAATTTTCACAATATTTTTGAAAAAATGAAAACTAATTGGGGAAAATACAAATCAATGGGACTTGGAAAAAATTATTACAAGTCAATGGTGAACTTTATAAATATTAATAATTAAAATCTTACATTTTTTCATCAATTTGTAATATTTTTTTCAAACTCCCACTCATTTATTTTTCCCAAACTAGTTTGAAAAATAAATATTTTTGTAATTGTTTATTATTATTATTATTTTTTTTTTGTAATTTTGATATCTATATTTTTTATACTTATAAATTGTAATATATTTATGACATAATTATGACATTACGGTTCAATTCTGGTTCGCCCACAGTTGAACCAGTGACTTGTTCGCCTGGTTACTTTTTTGGTTCGCTCACCAATCTGATTTCCAAAACATTGAGCTAGACGAAGGTGAGGATGATGGACGTAGTCATCATGTCCCTTTTGCCTTGGGCTGGACAGGTATTACAATGGACTGAAAATTTTATTTTTATCTCATCACTTTGCCTCAAAAGTGGCCATGTTTGGTGTCTTTTTAGAAAAAGTTCTCACAATATTTTTGAAAAAATGGAAACTAATTGGGGAAAATACAAATCAATGGGACTTGGAAAAAATTATTACAAATCAATGGTGAACTTTATAAATATTAATAATTAAAATCTTAAATTTTTTCATCAATTTGTAATATTTTTTTCAAACTCCCACTCATTTATTTTTCCCAAACTAGTTTGATAAAAATAAATATAAAAATGTAATTTAAAATTTTAAAAATTATTTTTGGCCTCTCAAAAAATAAAATTATATAAAAATGATTAAGTGCTTTTTGATTTTTTTTATTTATTTCACCAAATTATTTTTTAAATTTTAAAAAAAAAAATCTGAAACAAGTTTTATAAAACCAAACCAAACTGGGCAAGATCCTTCCATGTGCTTCCTTTTTTTTTTTTTTTTTTTTTTCTTTTTTTTTTCTTTTTTTCTTTTTTCAAAAAGATTGATTGGAAATATTTATTTTGATACAAACATGTACTTGAAATTTTTTTATAGTATGATTGATGTCTCACTTTCTCTTCCTAGTTGCAATATTGTAAATATTTATGTTATTAGTGTTTGTGTGTGTTGTGACAGTTGGTGGAGCTGAAAAATGGGGAGACATATAATGGGCATTTGGTTAACTGTGATACTTGGATGAATATACATCTCCGTGAAGTCATCTGTACCTCTAAGGTCTTTATCCTTTAATTCTATTTAGTTCTTTTGTTCATCATCATCTACTATCATTGTTTTGTATGGATAAATACATATATACCCGTGTATACATATATATGACATTGCTTTCCTTTTTAAATTCATGATGGGTGTCATTGGAATTCACAATTTAGGATGGAGATCGATTTTGGCGAATGCCTGAATGCTATATACGCGGAAATACAATCAAGTATCTTCGAGTTCCTGATGAGGTATGCTGATTAGTTTTTGAATTGTCTGCAAATATTCAAGCTACAAACCCTTGCTTTATATCCTATTATCTTTCTTCACATTGGTGAATACATCTTTAATGGTTTGAGCATTTCGATGTGGATATTATTTTACCCCAACAATTTAATTTGTTATTAATTCGTGATATATTTTGTCTTAATTTGTGGAAGATGTTGCCTTTGTTTTAATTTGTTTTGTTCACCCGGCAGATTTTTTGATTTAATTTTGTCTGTGTGTGTTTGTGTGTGCATAGATGTGTTCTTCTGGAGAATATGTTGAGTGGGAGTTAACAAACCATAGGATGTCAATCTTTTTCTATGTGTTTTAGTTTTGAATCCTGAGAATCTGAAAATATTGTGGTGCTTAAAATGTCAAGTTGATGTGGATCTGGACAGATGTGATTTTATGAATTCAGGCATATTGTGTTTTCTAAATGGAGTAGAATGAGCCAAGTTTAAAATGAACTCCTGTTTCCCACTCAGCGACATAAGTATGTGAGAGTGAGAAATCTTAATCAACATTTTGCATATGCACATAGGGTACTTAAGGAAATTAAAATAAAGGCATTTTGATGTACTGTTTGGCTAGGGTGGTGTGGGGCGGGTAGGATTCCCTATGCTGAATACTTTACCTGACCTGACTCAGGTTTACCCTTCTTCTCAAACCTTTCTCCACCCAATAGGTTCTCCCCAAGCCCATATCAATAGAGGCAGAGCATGGAGGGTTTTTGGCACATCCCCAAGTTCATGTTATTATTGCTAAGTACAAGTCAATTTATTTTTGTTACGTGTGCATGTATTCTTTCTATAACTTGTTTGGCTGATGGACAGCAAAATAAAATCAGCTAGTTAAAGCTTAGGTCATCTTTGGCTTGTGAGAAGCTCATTGAGCTGTGTTAGCATCTCTTGCAATGGCATTTTCTGTTTTATTTAATTTTAAATCTCTAGAGTGATGATGCCCCTCCCTGTCAAAAGAAGAGACGGTTATGTTTTTTTCAGGTCACTTTAAAATTGACCTGTATTTTACTTTTTTACTTTTCGTAAATAATATTTTTAATAGTGGCTAAAATCTGGTTCAATCCTGTACTCTCCTATGACATTGTTTCCTGCAAATGCCTCAACCAATAGTCCTAAAATGGTGTGAAAACTCACAGGCACTTCATAACCACCCATATAAGTAGTCATTTTCTACAGGTGGAACAGGTCAAGTTGACCTTGAAGCTCATTGAGCCTGCCAAACCAAGTTTGAGCACATCTCCTGATCCATTCTCAGTTTTTGAGTCTTTTCGTATAATTCCTTTGTTGTGAAGTTATGTTTCAAGGACTGGTTGGTATGCTGTATTGTTCAGCTGGATGGCACTTGGCAAATGACTATGATTCAACTAGGAGTTCACTGAATTTCTCTTCTTTTACCTAAAGAGAAGAAGGGGCTGCACATTAGTGCTGGCATTCAATCCTGCTGATAGCAGAAAGACCTTTGTTATTCCCTCTCCTGTGGTGTGTGGTAGGTGTTTTGGATAGAGACAAGATAGGATAATGTAGCTGATACTGTAACTGGTGGCTGATGCATGCAAATTGCAATGATACTCTATTGTTTTATATTGTGGAAAACCATGAAACTTATTGGATGAATATGTAAGTTTTTTGGTACAAGATCTGAGAATCTCTTTTAATTTTGGTGTACTAGTCCTGGGATCCAATACTGTTGTAAAATTTGCTACCCATGAAGGCATTTGCTGGATTGTCATAATTTATTATCTTTTTGGCGTTCCCCTCTTGGTCTTAACTCTAGCTATCTCCATTTTATTGTTATTCATTTTTCAATGTTTGAATTGATCTAATGTGTTGTTATGCGTTGATTTTCTAGGTGATTGATAAAGTTCAGGAGGAGACAAAGAGCCGTGCAGGTATGTACTGCACTTTTCTTTTTATTCAGCATGTTGTCTCTCTTAGCTTATGAAACAAATGTTTTTCTCGTAAACTCTGCTTAGCTTTAACTGTGAGTTCAATTAGTGATGTGAGTATCAATTTAAATGCTTGAAAGAGATCAATTGGTAGGGCAATGTTACTGAATGACACGCATAAATGAAACCGAGTTTCACTTTGCTTCTTAATGTAAAGTTATGTGATTTGGATAATTTGTTAAGAGAACTGATATGCTTATTGATTGACATTTCAGATAGGAAGCCACCTGGTGTAGGGCGTGGAAGAGGAAGAGGTAGAGAGGACAGCACCAGTGGTGGGCGACCAGCAAAGGGCATGGGTGGCCGCGGTCTAGATGATGGAGGTGCTAAGGGGATGGGTGGAGGTCGAGGCAGAGGTGGGGCTGGTGGGAGGACTGGTGGAAGCAGAGGTAGAAACTTTCCATTTCGATTTTTGAATTATCGGAAATTGGTTTTATTTAGAGGGATTGCATTTTATGTTGTCTAGAAATGAGTTTGCGTTGATCCATGGTAATACCCAACGTCTTGGTTTTGGAGTTGCTGAGTGCCACATGACTCATGCACATAGCAGAGGCTACACGTTTGGTTTCTTACAATTCCTTAAGAAGCACAAACACTTTAAAGAAAATGGCATTTCATGTCAGACACCATGGGGACACTGCACTGCACTGATTAGGCACTTCTTGACACTTGTCATACACAAGTCCAAACATGTCCTACTATTGTTAAAAAAAAAATTGTAGATTCGAACAAGTGTCTATTGCTTAAACACACATGAAACACATTATAAGTTTAAATACAATTACTTTTGAATTTATTTAATGATAAAAAGGAAAACAATACAAAATGGAAAATTTATGCATATTCTCCATTTTTAGACTTAAAAATTAGTGTTACATTATTCTGTTATTATCTTTGAATTAAATATGCATATATATATGACATTATAATTGTTTATTCTTATATAAATATATAAACTTGTATTTTTTTGTTTGACACTTTTTAAAAATTTGTGTTGTATTTGTGTCGTATCACGTATTTACGTTTGTTTTTATCATAAATTTAGATAGCGATTTGAAAAATGAAAAAAAAAAGAATAGAGAAAAAATTACAGTCAGAAGCTGGGACATGATTGGCATGCTTGATCTTGTAAAAACAAAACTCATTGACCTACTTGGTGGCAGGTACTGGGCGAGGCCGGTGATAAAGCTGAGGTGTTGAACTCAAGGAGGTTTGCTAGTTTTAAAAGGCATTTCACTCCCCCCGTTTGCAAGAAAAGTGATATTATGAAGAAAAGAAATTTTCTTTTTTTGATGTTTGTATTATGCTCTGAGCTTTATCCAAGACAGTGGCACTAAGACAGCAATCGATTTAAATGGTTTTAAAGGCTAAGATTGTTTATTTGAATTATTCTAATTTGCCTTCTGTTCTGGATATATATTATCTTATTTTTATTTTGCAGTGAAGTTGTAAGCTATATTTATAAACAGAACGTATTTTTTAGCAGAATAGAAAAATTACAACAATGATTAGAATTCCATATATTTCCAAAAATCTCTCTGGTTCTGCTGACCAAATTTTCATGCTTTTTTTGGTGTCTTGATTTACACTTGGGGGTATGCGTAACTAATTACGGAGAATAATCTTTGATTATTCATGTTAGACGATAAGCCTTGCCATTAAAGAGACGTTTTCAGACAAATTGTGCCGATTGTTTTTGGTCACTAGATTTATTGTTTGATGATAGCTCCAATATTTCCGACAATTATTTGAATATCATAAATTACTTGCGAATTCATTAGTTGCCCTCACGCTAAATAAGTGCACAAGTGCACTTTTTATCTTTTTGGACTAAAAAATTGAGGAAAAAAATATGGATGTTTGGATTAATTTTTTGACTTTTTATAAAAAAATGTGTAATAAAAAATTTTTAAAATTAATTTATAGAAAAAAATTAAGATTGAAAATTGTGCAACCGTAATTATTGATTTTTAATGAATAGTATTAATTTTTTAACTTTTTAAATAATTTTTTAACTTTTTAATTTTTTTACAATATGTTAAACTTGCCCTTAATATTGTCTCCAGATATTAGCGTTTAGGTACTGTGAATCCTAGAAAGATTCCCATAGTCTAAATATCAGTCTTTTGGATTCATAAAAAAAATTTGTGCATTCTGACAAAATGACTGGATTGGATTAATTAACGACGGGACATGTCTACCAAATTTTGTTTTACACTCAATATTTGTGCTCTAATCACGAGTTAAAGATATAAGTGATCTGTATCAATCTCTTTAAATTTTTAATCAAATTATAACTAAAAAAGTTATTTTGCTATTTTAGCTAATTACCTCTTTAGTACTTATTACATCAAACTTTCTATTCTAACTTAATTTTATTAAAATATTATTTTCTTATTGTGTTTGTTATTCTTTCTTTTTTTTATTAAATTGATGAGTTACTAATCAAATAATTCTTAAAAAATGAAAAATAAAATAAAACAAAATAAAAATTTGGCCGTTGACCGATTAACCGAGCCGACTTTCGGGCAGACATCCGGTGACACTAATCTCCTTGTTGTAGCGATAAATAGTACCTTGCTTGTTGTAGCAAGGTACTAGAACACTCATAAATTATCGATAAACAGTAACGAGACTGATACACGTCTATTTTTTATGAACAGTATCACTAATTTAGCTAAAAAACGATTTTAACTAGATTAATGCGGATGTTCTAAGTTGGTCAATCTTTGGTGGGAAAATGTATGACCTTCCAAAGCAAATGGCAGAAAATCTACACTCCAGCTAATTGCAATCCAATACTTCAAAATATAATGCAGATAATAGTGTGTTTGTTAAACAAATCAAGTTAATTCAAACTCAATTTATATTAGACTCGTTAAAAAGTCGATTGAAATCGTTCTATTATATAAACAAGTTAAACATAATTTTAAGTTTGTTATATTTTCAAGTCCAGTCTGATTAACTTATTATTTTATTCAAAAAATTTATATGTACTATAAAAAGTTAAATTACTTGAGCTCAACTTGTGTTTGACTTATTAAAAACTTGTTCGAGATTGCCTTATTACGTAAATAAGTTAAATTTAAACATAACTTTAAACTCATTGCTAAGCACCCATGAGTCGGGCACTGAAAACCCAACCTGTTTCCTGGCGTCATCATCTTCCTCGCCCACTACATCGATTTCCCAACGGACTTGGTCCAACTCTCCACCAAACTCTCATCCCCTGCACCGCCTGCTCCATGGATGCCGTCATTGAGTCTTCTTCATCTTCGTCATCATCATGGTGGTGGTGGAGAGAGAGAAGATAGAGAAATACAGAGAGAGAGGGAATTGAGAAACGGAGACAAATACAGATAGAGGGAGAGAGAGAGAGAGAGAAGCAGTCTCTACCCAACCAAAAATATACATACGAGTTCAAAGCGAGAGAGACGAGAGAGAGAGAGAGAGATTGTTATATTTGCGCTTTCTTTGTTTTGAAGAAAAAGAAACGCCAATGGTCATTTGTCTGACATGGAGGAACTCTTTCACTGTAAGATGCTTCTTGTTTGCATTTTTCTGTTTCCTTGTGACCCAAAAGCTCGCGCTCTCTCTCTCTCTTGGTAGATGGTTTTGCAGTTCTTTCTCCATATCCTTGGATTGTCTTGAGGGGTTGCTGATTTGGGCTGTTGTTGGTTTTTCTTTTTATTTTTTATTTTTTATTATACAAATCAAAACGGTGGCGTCTGCTGTCACAGCACCCACCCCAAATCCGAACAGTCTATACCTGACTTGTTTTCAGCCCTAGACAATAGGCAAACACCGCCAAACTGCTTTCTCCTTCAACGAATTGGAAGGGTGAAACAAAACAATAAATAAATAAATAAATAAATCATAAGACAAAATTGCAAATGATTAGGAAATAGAATACAACACGAGGGTTTGATCAATGTTTTTAGTAAGGATGATGCCTTCTTTTCTTGCGAGTCGTTGGTGACTTAACGACTAGTTCACTCGAAATCCAAGAACGATTTACATCAGACAATTCATCAGACATCCAACAACATAAACGACCATCCTCCCCACCTGTCCATCCAAAGACACCTCGGCTATGGGTTGGCCCACTCCGCATGCCTGACAAAGGCAACACAGTCCTAACAATACCTGTGTGACCACCATGGAGAACAGCCTCTGGAGATCCAATCGATCCTGTTCCTTCGTAATTCACAGGGAAGCAACCTAAGGTACCAGCATTCGTCCCACCAATTACCCATAAATGATCATCTTTCATCGAGTAGTGGCAATCAACAAAATAGTCAACCTGCAACAACTGAAAGCTCAATTAAAATATCCGATGTAAATTTATACCAAAAGTTTGAAAATATGGCTTGGTTTTGAGAAGATTTAATTTACGTCCAGGTTCTTTCAGTTAGTTTTTTTGTATGCAAATGTTAATTTGATATGGTTCAAAAAGAAAGACGAACAAACTTTGAAGGGCGATGAGTTCAACCCAATTGTTAGTACTTCTGTAGCTATATCAGACTTGCTTCTCAAATATGCCGAGTATTTTTTTTTTTTTTTTTTGATAAATGAAATATGCCAAGTAATTTCTACAGGGCTCAATCCTTATTGAGCTGCCTCTCTTGGTTTTGATATATGATAGCAAATTTCCATAAGAGGAAAGAGAAGAAAATGTTGTGCAATCATACATATGAAATGTGTTTGGCAAATTTAGCAGACTATTAAGTGGAAAAAATATTCACATACATGATCTAATGCCCAGTTGTCGGAAGCTAATGAACGAGCGTTCTTGAAGTTGATTTCAATTCTTGCATCTTTCCAGTCCCAAACACTAACCGACCAGCAATTAATAGTAGAAAATCAGGACACAGAGAGATCTAAATAGAGTGATAAACAAAGTGTACAGTTAGCAATTCGTCCTACTCTTGTTCAAAATCCGATATCAAAACCATCCAACCCCAAATATAGGTTCTAATTCCACCCCATAAGTAAAGTAGGTCAGGCTAGGATTAATCCATTCCATTGCCAGCTATTCAATTTTTAGCACTTGAATCTATTGAGAAGGAAAATTTCTTATCCATAATAGAGTACACAACCAGTGAAAAACTGAAAATAAGCCTGAAAAGGACAGTACCAAGCAAAAATCTTGTGATGTTCCTAAAACATTAGTGAATACACAAATGACTATTTTATGTGGAGTATACTTCCCAATAATACCTTAAGGTTTCAATGTGTGTCAAGCACCAGAGTTTTTGGCTTGCCTCTCCAAAAAAGCCCACTTTTCCGATTGAAGTTCCCACATTAATCACCTACATTGATTCTAATAGTAATTAGACAAAATTTTTAAAAATATCAAATAGAAAAAAGTACATAGTTTGAAATCTAGTTCCAGCAACAAATCTATGACAACCTGAGATTGCATTGATGTCGAGATTAAAAATACTCCATAATCTATAGTAGCCACCAGCATTGACAAAATAATGAACTATTATATAAAATAGAAAAATTATTAACTATTGGAAAGCAATTAAGCACATAGCTCAATCTCCATGCTGAGTAATACCAGGGAACAAACAATTAGCAAAGTCCTGTTGGTTAGCATCAAATTCATTCTGGTTTGGGCTATAAGTGCACAGGGCAAGAAGACATTACGTATAGCAAATTTTTTATGAAGGTATAGCTTCTGAATGAATAAGCCTCACTACATCTATGAACAAAAAAATGTTCTTTCTTTAGGGTAAAGGGGGAAACAAACAAAAACCACATGCTAGAAAACTACTAAATTATTTGCTAACCCATGTCTAATAAGTGATTGACATGACTTATTAAGGTATAAAGACTGTTCAAATAGCTTTGGTAACACCATTGGCTCATATATTAAGCCTACAAAACACAACACTGAAACAATGGAAAAAGTAATGAAATAAAGTTTAGAGCACTTACTGACTCCAGATGATCATCGTCATCGATACTTGCACTGGTATCAAACAAACATATTAGTCCATCTACAGAAGCGGAAACAAGCTTGTTTTGATGGTCAGGAACAAAGTGAACCTATTAAAAATAGTTAAATCACAATCTTTGTTTTCAGAACAAGTTCATCTCAAGAACCGACATCATAATTAATATATGGAAGCTCCTAATAATTTGGAAACTAATACTGCAGGACCGCATACAGACATCATATCACACCTGAGTAACATCCTCCATATGAGATTCCTCTAGGCATGCAACTTGCTTCTTGGTTCTCCAATCCCAGAAGAATATCTGCATGAAATTTATCCATTAATGATAGAAAGATGAAGATTAGGTAAGGACTGCAATGCTTTGGAGGTGAATTATGCCCTTTATGGACAATAATTCAGTGAAAATTAACACATGATGAACTACACAGCATTCCCTACTAATAAATCAATTACAAAATGTTGCAAGAGGTTTCCTTCTGTCGCCAAATTTATAGAAAATGGAATTCATGAATCCCCTGTTTACCTTATTTCTTTTACACACAAATATCAACTTTTCAAATGAATTGCATATCTGGCATAATCTTAAAAATCACTGAGTGGAAGTGATATCAAACCTTTGTAGCCTCCTTTCAGCAAATAATTTCACATTGATCAAACAAAAACTAGGGAATAATCATCTATGCATATATTTAACATACAGTTGTAACTTTGCATTAGCTGAAAGTGAACAAAGCCCCAGATAAAAGATTCCACACCTGAGACTTACTTCCAGCGGCAAGAAGATTATCTCCTGGCCCCCCAAATGAAAAGCTGAATATCTCTTGCGAAGGACCAGCACTTACAGAAGACACCTGCATGGCACCAATAAACTCATCATATATAGATGCATATATACAGAGTTGCTTTTGCTTTTATTCTCTAAGCCATTGCTATTCTTTTTCTATTTGATCCTGAACTAACAATTTCATCTATTTAGTCTTCAGGGTTTCTTATTTCAGCTCATGTAATTGAATTGGAGACATAAATAATTGTTGAAGCCGAATTTGAAGAACAAAAATGCCATTATAGAATTTGAACAACTAAGTAAAAGGGCAGAGAAAGAGAGAGGATGAGGGATGGATGGAGAAGAATGTTAATGTTTGGTTGTAACGGTAAGTAGTCTAATATAGTGCAGGTACGAAGATGCTTGGTTATATGAATGATTTAGGTTGTTTAAATTATATATAATTACCTTATTGCCTATAAGAATAGACTTCTGAACGATACCCATTGAACCATACCCACCAATTGAAATAAAAGGGATAGAAAATATGAAATAGAAAAAATTGACAGTTGTATTATATAAAATGTCACAGTTTTTTACATATTCAAAAATATCCTCACATTTAATAACTGTCAAGTTTTTGTTTTGTTTTGTTTTGTTCTTTTCTTCAAAAAATGCCCTTCACTTCACATAAATGAAACATTCAATAACTACCTAATGATTTCTGTAAATGGGATTTTCTCATTCAAATTACCGAAAATTGCTAAATGGTTAATGGTTTTCCTCATTCATCAAATGAATGACCTTTCAATTATCAAACCATTCAAAAATCTAAATGCAAAATTACAATCGTATTGCTAGTCTATAGAGATAAATACATATATACACAAAAATATATGGAGGGAGAGAGAGAGAGAAAGAGACCTGCTGGAATGATCTAGAGTCCCAAGCTCTGATGGTAGAATCAGAAGAGCAAGAGTGAAGAAGGTGAGGGGTCGTTGGAGCAGAGAATGAGATTTGATTAATAGTGGAAGAATGGCCTTTACACTCCCCCAAGTATTGACCTGTGACTGCTGAGTACAATTTTACGGCGTTGGTCGACAGAGACACCGCCATCGACGTCCAATCATCCCTACCATTCGAATTTGACAGTGAACATTAACACACACACACATATATATATACAGAGAGAGAGAGAGAGAGAGAGGGATTGAAGATGTAGAGATGAGAGGAACATACTCAGGGACGATTTGGAAGACGTAGTCGTCTCCGAAGTTCGTTTGAATAGTGTTTTTTAGTCCGAATCGCTTGAATTGGTTTGAATTCGAACTAGGTTTCGCACCTTCCACATCCATCTCCATATCTTTAGCTTCCATTTTCCCCTCTCTCTCTCTCTCAGGAAGTGTTTTTTTTAGGGTTAGCCTCTCTCGAGTACAGCGGGCCCCGTAACCCATTTGAATTGGTTGAATTTATTCTTGTAAAAATTCTCCAAAATTTGAAGAAAAATTATACACGGTGTTTGGTTTTAGTCTGGTTTAAGTTTTTTGAAAATTGATTTTTTTTATTTTTATATTTTTTTGTTTTTAGTGAATATTTTTTAAATTTTAGACATTTTTTTTACTTTTTTACTTAGATGTATCTAAAAAGTAAAAAATTTGTAAAAAAATATTTTAAAAAATTAATAAATACATAAAAATACAAAAAAAATGTACTGAATTCTTGTATTTTTTTATATTTTTGGTATTTAGTGAATTTTTAAAAGATTTTTTTTACAATTTTTTTTTACTTTTTAGGTGTATTTATGTTAGGTGTATCTAAAAAGTAAAAAAATCACTTAAAATATTAAAAAAATTCAGTAAAAACAAAAAAACACGAAAAATAAGAAAATAAAATTTTCTGAAAAGTGTTTTGAAAAACTGAAAACCAAGCAAGGTAATAGTTACCCCTATATTTTTTAAATAATTAAGTTAAATTGACTTAAATTAATACGGACGATAGGTAAGCATTAAAATAAATCAAAATAAACATATATGTATAAAAAATAAATAATAATAGTAATATTTTTTATTATTTATACGACTATCAAATTATTCGAGTCATCTTCCATCATTATTGCATTAACATCAAAGCATACGGGCCTCTTTTGAAAAATGAGTTAAAAGTCATTTCTCAACTTTTAATTCATTTTGGAATTAAATCATCTCTCATATACATTTTTTTCAAAAAAAACCAGATAAAATTAAAAAATTAATTTTTAATCATCTTTTCAAAATGTCCCACACTATGCCTAATCTGAAGTTCTGATATTAGTCAACCATTTCCCTAATATTCGTTTCTATCCCAATTTCGATTCGTAGCTCAAAAACACTGTGGCTCGAATCAAAAAATGACGTCGTTTTGCTATTTTTTTTTGAAAAATGCTTGGGAGCACTAATTAGTGCTCCCACTAATTAGGTGGCAGTGGGTCCCGCCATTAATGATGTGATGTTTTGGTCGATGTGATGTTTTAGTCTTGGAGTTGTATTTTTTTTTTTTTTTTTACTTTTTTAATGCATTAGTGCTATTAGTGATGATGTTTTTAGTGGGATGAATCATTGTTGTTTTTTTTTCCCCTTTTTTCCCCTTCTCTCTGTTATGAACAAAGACGATGAAAAAGAAGAAGAAGAAAGAAGAGGAGGGGAGGGGAGAGAGAGAGATCAACCAAAAATTAAACCCAAATCAAATAGAGCGACAGAGAGTGATACAGATCACCATCTTCACACAAAAATCAAACCCAAATCACCTGAGCAGAGAGAGAGAGATCAACCAAATCAAACCTAAATCACCCGTAAAAAAAAAAAAAAAAAAAAAATCAATAACATATATATACTACAGATCATCATCATCATCAACAACAACATATATATACTGCAGATCATCATCATCATCCAAAAAAAAAAAATGCAGAAAACAGAGAAAGTGGCGATCTACCTACCGACGATCGATCGATGATGACCGCCATCACCTTCTCTTCCTCCTTCTCTCTCGCCTCTTGCTTTCTCTCTTCTTTCGCTTTCTCTCACTCTCTCTCTCTTTTCCTCCATCCCTGTTTCAAATACAAAGAGAAAGAAGACGAAAACGGAAAAAAAAAAAGAAAAAAAAAAGAATTGAAAACGACGTCGTTTTGTGATTCTGGCCAATCGAGCCTCGGATTTTTCGAGCTACAAGCCATTTTTCTATCCAAACACCCCACTTGCCCATCCACCATTGTCTTGAGTTCAGACATACAACTTGCCACACAAACCTTCATTTCATTGTAATGTTTTTTTTTCTTAATTTTGTTATCTGATTTCAATTTTAATGATGTGAAATTAAAGAAATTAAAGATGAGAATGAGAGGAATGGACAACATCATTAAAAATAAAATTGAGAGGATAAAATTAGAAGATCAGCACTCTCTGTTTAATAATAAACACACAAAAAATAATGTCAGCAATTATTTTAGTCTTTAAATATAAAAATTACCCTAGGAAACATAACCACACACTCCATATTCTACGAGTCTATTACCATTATAAGGAAACACCCATCTGCATTCCTATATTCACAACCAAACATCACCCTTTCCCAACCGGTTTCCTATCGTTTGGTGTGAATTATTTTGACTAAATTAGTCAATAAATGGCCAATTTGAAAACATGATGAAAAACTAATTTTTGATTTTTAATTTATTTTAGATCATTATTTCACATAGAAAAGTAACTTTTAACTTACTTCTCAAAATAGGTCAAAACAATCCAAAGACAAAATAAACTAATTTAGCTAATAAAACAAAATATCACATCCAAACTACAATCATTTTAATTTTTCCTTCACAACTATCAAACCAACCAAAAAAAAACCAAAATTTATCCAAAACTTAATTTTTTTTACTAGTTTAAATAAAAAAAAAAATTCAGACTAAATTAACTCATCACAAACGAGGGCTTTGAGCCATGGAACCCACAGAATGTAAAGAAAACCTCCTGTCCACAATTGATGGGCAATTCACCGTTTGGCAAGCAATGGCAACCCCATTCGCATTATATTTAGAGTTCGAGTTCGTTTGGAATGTGAGTTAATTTTTAAATTTTTTTATGATTAAAATAATCAAAAAATCAAAAAGCTTAACATGTCAAACGAAGGCTTAATCATCATCATCTTAAGCGTAAATCAGGCACAAATTTATCCTTGTAAACCACAGTTGCACATATAGTATAAAAAGATCTTAACAGGACATACTCATTGTACGGGGAGCAAATATTCCGGCAAGCCCGTACTCCTTTCTTCCAACCTCCGTTTCTGTCCGATCACCTGAAAGCACAATGTGGGTGAGCTACCCGGCGGTGTGTGGCCGGAAAACCCCTCCGACGGTCAAGTTAGAACACACACCAGGGGATAGATAGAGAGAAGGGAGAGTGTTGAGTGTTTAGTGTATGTCTCACCAAATGTTCATCCGTCTGCGTATGGGGGGTGCAGACATGCTTATATACCTTCTGCGCCCCAAATCTACTCCCAGTGATCTCTCAACACGTGGCACTACTATCCCATCTGTCAGCATAAACCTTGCTGAGCACCACCTAACCCAACTGCCTGCCCGTGCTCCTGGGAGCTCGGCAGCCGGGCAGTATCATCTCGGCTATCGTCTGCCATGCTGCGGTTCATGCCCAAGTACTCCAACAGCTAAGCTCAGATGAGGACCGGACTCAACGGCATCTCGGCAAAGCCGAGCTCGGGACTACTCACACTTGTCTGCGGTCGACCTAACTGCCGAGCAAACAGGTACCTCGGTCCAACCTTGCCTTTCTTGGCGATGGACTTTTCACCTGACCGGCTTCGCAACCACGGATCCTTGCAGCTCGGTCAATCAACGTACTGCCTTAACCGAGCAGCTTCAGTCAAGGCCGGGCCACACACCTTGGCCCAACACCTGTTCGGCCCAAATCTGTCCGGCATAACTCTGTCCGGTCCAAATCTGTCCAGCATAACTCTGTCCGGCCGAAATCTGTCCGGCACAACTCTGTCCGGCCGAAATCTGTCCGGCATAACTCTGTCCGGCACAAATCTGTCCGGCATAACTCTGTCCGGCCGAAATCTGTCCGGCATAACTCTGTCCGGCACAAATCTGTCCGGCATAACTCTGTCCGGCACAAATCTGTCCGGCATAACTCTGTCCGGCCCAAATCTAAATCATTAATCTCCCTCTCACTCATTGTTTTGCATTTTCCAGTAGTAGTACTACATCAACACAGCAGGGAAAAGAAATCATGATGTGAACTCATATCATATACAAGTGATAATAAAGCACTAGAGTTGGAACTTTAATGCCAACTCTAATGACGTGGCAATACATAAAAAAATATATTAAAAAAAAAAAAACAAAATACAACATCACAAGCCAAAACATCAAATCATAAGATGGAGTCCAAAGCTCCTCATTTAGAACTCCTCATTTAGAAGTCTCAAACATTTTTATTCATATACTACCCAACTACTGAATTATCATCCACCAAACCCTTAAACTAAGATACAATCAAATCCAAGTCAATATTCAGAAAAATAGTTTCACTCTCCAACAACACAAGGCAATATCTGGCAGTTATACCATGAAAAATCGGGCCAAATTGACACCAAGTCAGTTTGGAAAAAGCATGGGTATAATAATTCAATGACACCTTCAATTATAAGACAGGTCACATGCTCGGTGCAACTTCAGCTGTTCCCTCCGGAGCATTTTCCACCTTACTTGCCTCATGTTTTTCTGGCTTTACTTCCCCTCCTGCCTCTCCTGCATCTTGCTCTTCTGGCATTGCCATTTCATCATCTACATAGAATGAGTAAATAAATAAATACTGTCTTCCACCAACACATACAATTCCCAAAGAATGAAAAATTAAGTAGAAGAATACCCCATTGATTATATAGAACAGGTGAGGAATCTTTAGCCCTATGTTACCTGGAATGTGGATCGTTCTGGTACGTGAAACGGGAACGGCAGCATGGTACGCCACATGTTCTAAAATGTGGTACAATAAGTGTAGACTTGTATATATTATACTTGAGAATTTAAGGTGCTTCTAAAGTAATTTTTTTCTAACTATTAGATATCCAACAAAATGTAATATTTTCAATGAGCATTATGACCCATTTTTTGATCTTTTATCTTGTCAAAACTTAACTCACCTTAGATTTCAATTCGTTATATTTGAATTTTTTCCTCCTACGGCAACATTTAAGGACATATATTGAAAAAAAACTTTTGGGATCACTTTGAAATACTAAATTTACTGTTTTGGAATGGAAGTGTACCATGCTCCGGAACGTGCATACCAATACATAATTCGCTAGGGTATTAGCGTTTTTTAGTAATATAACTTTAGCCATGGATACAATACAGCACAATATGATATGCCGATATGGCATTTTTTTTAAAAAAAATAAGACAACTATTTTCCACAATCTTCAAGTTGGAAAAGAAGTGTAAAGAATCAAGTCCTAATAATCTATTTTATATGTGTCTAGTTTCTTGTTGCTCTCTGTTTAGGTCTTTTCTCTCTCTATAGGTCTTGTTCCTAATAGTTCGGTTGTTTTCTCTAGGCTAATGTTAAGGGTTCTCCAGGTATGTATTTTCTTTTAGCCAAAATCTCTTTCTAATGGAATGAAGTCATTGAATTTTGCACCCTACATATTTTACAATACTCTGTTCATAAAGAAACTGCAAATTTTTTGTTTTAAAAGAGATTTTCACATGTCATACAGTCATGACAGTTCTTTTAATTTCAAGTGTTCATTTGGTAACTTAATAGCTTCAATGGGGGTGGTATCGTTGAGAAAAAATTGATGCTGGCTACCCAAGATTGCACCAACACAATATGGGTTACACGTACAAAAACTGCCGATCAATTGGAGAAAGTTATACTTTCAGTTTCAGTAACTCCACGCATGTATTATACATGTTCAGTCTATTTGAACTATACACAACAAATATTGAAGTAACTCCCTTTATGTACAGCCCTTCTATTTGAACTAGAGTACATATACATGTCAACAGCGCGAATATTTCAAAATTTGGAAAAATGGTGCAATAAAACATCGAAGTACTTGTAATATATGAAAGCATGCATGAGCAATTAAGATGTGTTGAACAAGCATTTATGTGAACCTCAAAGCTCAAGTGTTCCAATCAAACGTGGCTATAAAACTATACTTATTCAACACCAAGCAATCATGGCACGGTGTTTTCTATCCTATTAATTAAGATTGAATGCATTAACAAAGCACATCCATCAAGATATGTACTACTTGATCTCTACATCAAATATTTTTTTATATTTAAATTTACTATTACCTTCATCACTGTAATCAAGGTCATCACCCATGCCTCCCATGTCACCAAATTTCTGTAAATGCATTAGTAAGTTAAAATTCAGCATTCAAAATAAAAAACCCACAAGAAATTTTAAAACTAGGACCAACATCCTTACCGAAAAATCCATCCCTCCCAAATCTAAGTCAGCAGGACCTACGCAAAATATGTGGATTCAAAATTATTGACAAATGAAGACCATATTTTCAAAATCATGCAGAAAATTTTGATGAAATAAAGTGTGAATTGGATGGAAGAATACCGGTATCATCATCTTCATCCACCCATTTGTCCCAATCTACTTTCACATAGTGTGGCACCTTGTCATCTCCACGTGATAGTTTCTTCCACCATTTCATCTCAGCTTTCTCCAAAACACAAAATATACTCCTCATGCCTACATTTATTTTACTTTCCTGCAAGAATAAGAATCAGAAGTAAAGCACAGAAAAATAAATCATAGAAAATATTTAAGAAAGAATTTTTCATATGCATTACTCTAGCCACTACACGTACACTTCATCCCTCAACGGATCTCCTCAAACACCTAGAAAATTCTACACAACCATAACAGTGTAATTCCAAAGATGGAAATATTCCATTCTAAATTATTTCTAACGGACCCACTTCCCACAACCTCACAAAGTCAAGAGTAACAGGACAAACTAGGTGGGTAAACCCTCATTATCAGCTCATGTAATGACATGCCAGAGGCGCAGTTCAGATCCAAACATCATTTACATGTCAGACTCATTGCAAACATTCAGAAAAGGTCAGTCACTAACGGTATCAATAATCAGCAAACCATGCCTTACCTCTACATTAACCTTCTCAAAAAGGTCCAACTTCAGTTCATAAAGGTGGTTCTCTGCTCCAGCACTAGCAGAGAAAATAAAACTTCCATCGGGCTCAAGCTTAACCTTTGCATTCTTTGCATCTGGCAATAGCACTGTGATATAAACCTTGTCAAGCCTCTGAGCCCACTTCACCTCAGGATGCCGACTGAAAATTTCAGAACATATGAGAAGAGAGGTAATCACAGGAAATAGTATCTAGAGTGAATCTCTAGTAAATGAATTTGGGGAAATTTTAATTTTGAATCATCAACTTGAACCAAGACAAGTAATAATAAAATTACTTTTCCTTCTCAAACAAAGATCAAGTAATAATAAACCCCTAAATTAACATACATGAACGACCTTCTACTCTTAAACAATTAAAACATTCAACAATGCACAAAAAGGGGGTCCCTCCAAAATAATTGCACACAGCAAATTGAATCAGATCAAGTTGTAAGAAAATATCAGCAATACTGTTCAAATTGAATAAAGATCAAGTTTTAAGCACACAGTTCTCACATGACCAAGAAATAGGGTTCTTAGCAATGCAACAAACCCATGTCCATAGTTCACTTTCATCCTTGTATGGCCAGTACCAATTCTTTGCACCTCTCAAAGGACCATATTTTATTCTCCAACTAATACAAAGCAACCTAAGAAGCACGGACACGGACACGGACACGTGACACAACACGGATACGACACGGACACGGACACGTTGACACGTTAATTTTAAAAAAATGAAGGACACGACACGTGGGGGACACGCATGAAATATGTAATTTTATATATTTATTATATGTTATATATATTAATATATCATTCAAAGATAATAAAAAATGCAATATAACACTAATTCTTATAAATTTATATGATTTTTGTTTTATTATTGTATCTTAAGTTATTTTGTTTAAACTTATAATTAGTTTCACATGTATTCAATCGATAGACACGTGTGTTTATGTGATTGACATGTGTGTCCTTCAAGTGTCCAAAGAGTGTTCGGGTCTTTAAAAAAATTTAAAAATTAGAACACGTTATGAAGAGTGTCGGACACATGTCCTAAGAGTGTCCAAAGAGTGTCGGTGTTCGACACGGACACGGACACGGATATGTTACCTTCTTAGAAGTGTCCGTGCTTCTTAGAAAGCAACTAACGATACTAAATCTTAAATCAAGACAAGTAGTAAACTTACTTTTCCTTCTCAAACAACGATCTAAGAAGAAAATGAAAACAAAAAACCACCCAAAAAAATAAATGGTAAGTACAAATTTATTAGGGAAAAAAAAATAAAAAATAAAAAAGTGCAACTGCAAACCCCAAAATTATTAATTTCACATATACGAACGATTGTACTCTTACAATTATCACATTCAACAACGCACAAAAAGAGGGTCCCTCCACACACAAAAAAAAAAAAATCACACTTTCATAGATAAGGGAGTACAGAGCCAAAATGGCGCTACAAAGTGTAAATGCTAACTATAAATAAACAATTACCACTAACATATTTAGCGAACAAAATTAAGAGACTACTAAATCAAACTTTCGCTTCACCATTTACCACACAATAAATGAATGACACCCATTGATCATTTACAAGCTCAATAGAGTATTCTACCGTTAAGAAGCATTTTCTCTGCCCCAATTTTCTCGGCATCCAAACGGAGTCAGAGAAATAGAAGTACAAGAACCAAAACACACATTTACAACTACAAACCAATCCAAATATAATCGTGAAAAAAAAGAAAAAAGGATGAACAATGTAGAGATCACAAAGCAATCGAAGATGAGAGAGAGAGTACCTCGTCATCTTTCTTCTTCTTCTTCTTCTTCTTCTTCACTCGAAAAACCTTAGCTATCTTCTCTTCTAAACCCTTGTGGAAAGAAGCTTCTGGAATGTTGAGAAAAGCACAAAAGGCGTGCGTTGCAAGTTGCGGGGATCGGAGGGTGTACAGAAGAGAGTTCTGGAAAGAGTTGATGATGATGGATCAACGGTCCAGATTTTGGATTACACGAGACCTATCACTTTAATTTCTTAAAAGAGTTATGCTATGACGTATATAAATTATTAAATATTTTCTTAAATCTTTCTCATGGGCATGTTGCGTAAAGATTTGATAAAAAAATTGATGATTTATTTAAATTTCATAACATTTTCTTTTCTAAAATTGTAAAAGCGTGTAAAATAAACATTTTATATGTGACATGTTTCACTTTAACACTATGTTTAGATTGAGTGATTTGGAAAAAAAAATAAAAGAAATAGAGTGATATATATTTCTCTTATTTGTTTGGATAACATAAGTAGAGAGAAATGGAAAGAAATAGAGAGAAATGAAGAGAAACTCATTTCTCTTATAAGTTTCATTTTCAATCTTTCCAAAAGTGGAGAGATTGGGAGAGAGAAAAAATCACTATTTTCATAATACTAATTTTGTCCGTATAAAAATAAAAGAAATAAAATGATTGAAAATATAGAAAGGTTATTTTGGTAATATAACATAAAATAATTTCTTTTCTTTTCTCTTAATAAAACCTAACCAAACAAGAATAAAAGAAATCACAATCATTTTTTTTTCTTTTATTTCTTCCTTATTCAAACAAAAATGAGTGAAATCACAATCAATTTTTTTTCTCTTATTACTTAAGTAATCATTTCTTTTCTTTTTTTTTTCTCCTAAGTTTCCAAACATAATGTAACAGAGCATATACCCAAGACCTATCACCATTGACATATTTCACTTTATAACTATTCTGATTACAGGTCTAACTTATATACAATTTTATAATTTAAGAAGTTATTTTTATGATTTAAAAAATAAAATTATATTTCTTAATAATTAAAAATTTTTATTTGTACATTTTTATAATTAAAAAATTAAAATAATATTTTGTAATAATTTAAAAGATGAGAAAAATTATTAGATGATGTTAGGACACTACGTGACTAAGTTAATCATAAGTAGTTTGACTTCTCTCTAGTCCAACTGAAGGGTACTGTTAGGCTCGTGGAGACTCACCATGGGTTTCTTTTTGATATTCTGAACCGTTCAATGTGTAAAACTCATCAAGTTCTATATGTTAAAAAAAAAAATTAGGTTGATCGAGTATTGATAGTTATGTAATGAATATGTATAATTCGTCGAATATTATATACTTGTAAAAAATCACATTGATTAGATATTGATAGTTACATAATCATATCAGCTTTGTATTAAAAAAAATAGATGGTGAAAAAATAAACGGTTGACAGAAATCTGATCCGATAAAAAAGCTATCAATATCCGATCAACGTGATTTTTTACAAATATATAGTATTCGATGAGTTCTACATATTGAACAGTTCAGATTATCGAAACGGGACCCGTGGTGAGCCCCTATAGGCCCAACAGTACCCTCTAGTCCCAGATCTCAATCATAAACTTTCATGCCTCACATATTTTTCAATCACTCAGGCCTCGTTTATCAACTATATATTTTAGCAAAAAAGTTAAAAAATCACTATAAATTGTTATATCATTCTATCTATTTTTCTGTACATATTTTAGTAAAAAAAATCAAAACGCTACTAAAATAGTTTATTATGAACCGAGACCTCAATATAAAATCATGGACTCTATCCTTACTATTAATTACAATATAGGTGACTCGACAACCAATAATTTCTCTCATTGTAAATATTCAGAACAGTAAATTACACTTATACTTCCTGAGGTTTTGATTTAATGCATATCATCTCATGACATTTGGAACATTATACTAACCCCTTCTGTCAATGTAATTATTTAGACGGAATGAAAATATGGAACTCATGCACTCTCACTTTTTTTACTTTGCTTTACTTTCTTTTTTTTTAAATATGAAGTTTGTAAAACAAGACTATTAACCACTAGGATAAGAATGTAAATTTCAAAATATCAAGTGATATAATGTAATTAGAGTAAAGCATCATTTGACAATATCACTTTTTAACTTAAAAGTTAAGAAGCCACTAAAAAATCAAAAAGTCAAATATTCTATTTTCTCTCTACTTTTTACAAATTTTTTCGTAAAAAATTAAAAAGTCAACAACCTATACCAAAAAGTCAAATATTATACAAGTTTGGGTACTCCCAAAAAAGCCAAAAAGCCAAAAAGTTACTCAAAAAGTTAAAAAGTTAACACTATTCACCAAAAGTCAACAATTACGGCTGCACAACTCCCAATTCAAATTTTTCTCTACAAATCAATTTTTACAATTTTTTATTACACATTTTTCAATAAAAAGTCAAAAAGTTAACCCAAACATCCATATTTTCAACCTCAATTTTTTAGTCCAAAAAGACAAAAAGTGCACTTATTTAGTCTTCCCAAACTTGGCCATAGTGTAAGAGTATCCACAATGGATGTGTTAGTGTATTTGTTAATGTCAGCTATTAAGTTTTGGGCAGCAAAGTTTGTTATTTGGTACTGCAGTAAAGCTGCTAAGGTCAACATTAGTGATCAAAGTTAGTGTCAGATGTTAGGTTGTGTGTTAACTGTAACCAGCGTTTTAGCTAGCGAAAGAGAGAGAGAAAAGTGTTGTGGAGAAGTCCTCCCGGATGTCTAACCCTTCAAGAAAAGGGGGGGGAAAAAAAATTGGGTCTGACAGGTTGATTTTTTTTTAGGCTAAAAAAATGATGATTAAATTAAATTATTTATATACTTTATTTAGTATGTATATATATTTTTAACACACCCCTTAACGTATTTATTGTATCACTCTTCGCTCACTATTCATTGACTAAATTAATAAACTTTTAATCTATATTTTAGATTTTACTTTAAATATATATATATTTTTTTTTGGTCATATAACACATATTTTAATATACAACTTTGACACATTGTAGATGCTCTAATTTATCCTAACCGGAAATAGTAATGGGTCTGCTACTTGTTCGACTCTATTATTGTCAGTCACGTAAATTTTGCTATTTTGGTAAACTCTTTTTAAGGCCCAATTATATTACTAAGATCTTGGGCTTCGTGATCTGGCCTCAAGTCTCGTCGCGTACGAAACTATTTCAACTAATCTCTCAGTGATCTGGCCTCAAGTCTCGTCACGTACGAGACTATTTCAACCACTCTGGGATTGTTTGATATGATATAAATATCTCAAAAGTTAGAGATTGTTTGATATGATATAAATAAATTTTAATTTTTTATGAAAAAATAAAAAAATAAAACCACCTCGTCATCTTTCTTCTTCTTCTTCTTCTTCTTCTTCACTCGAAAAACCTTAGCTATCTTCTCTTCTAAACCCTTGTGGAAAGAAGCTTCTGGAATGTTGAGAAAAGCACAAAAGGCGTGCGTTGCAAGTTGCGGGGATCGGAGGGTGTACAGAAGAGAGTTCTGGAAAGAGTTGATGATGATGGATCAACGGTCCAGATTTTGGATTGCACGAGACCTATCACTTTAATTTCTTAAAAGAGTTATGCTATTCCTAGGGTGTGCGGTGCGGGTCGGTACGGTTTGAGAGAAAAATAAAAATTGTATGGTAGGTGATGGATTGATAAAAATATTGTCATTTTTCTTATCTAAAATCGGTAGTTCGGTTGGCAAATGACGGATTTATCTTGACGGTTCGGGCGGATTGGCGGTTTATAAAAAATATAATTCAAATTACAAAACTTAAATTAAAGAGTCAAAAAAAAATGAGAGATACCGTGATGTTAAGCATCTTGCGAAACTTTTTTCTGATGCAGCAAGTGTAGCAGCAACATGATAATATCAACGACTATGCCATCAGTTCATTACAAGCATCTGTGGAAGCTACAATGATCAAATACAATACATAAAATTACCCTCGAGCAGTAATGTAATACTATATTCTAAGGTATAGAACAACAAGCAAACTTAAGTAAAAAAGAATTTTTAGAATCTTATAAAACATGATTTAATAGCGGTGCGGGTCAGTGCAGTTTGGAAGAAAAATAGAAACCGGCGGATTGATAAAAGTGTCACTAGAATTTACTATTTTTCTTACCAAAAATTGGCGGTTCGATTGGTAAATAATGACGAATTTGTCTTGACAGTTCGATTTTGACGGTTTCAACGATTTTGACGGTATTATGCACACTCCTAGCTATGACGTATATAAATTATTAAATATTTTCTTAAATCTTTCGCATGAGCATGTTGCGTAACGATTTGATAAAAAAATTGATGATTTATTTAAATTTCATAACATTTTCTTTTCAAAAATTGTAAAAGCGTGTAAAATAAACATTTTATATGTGACATGTTTCACTTTAACAGAGCATATACACAAGACCTATCACTTTTGACACATTTCACTTTATAACTATTCTGATTACAGGTCTAACTTATATACAATTTTATAATTTAAGAAGTTATTTTTATGATTTAAAAAATAAAATTATATTTCTTAATAATTGAAAATTTTTATTTGTACATTTTTATAATTAAAAAATTAAAATAATATTTTGTAATAATTTAAAAGATGAGAAAAATTATTAGTTGATGTTAGGACATTACGTGACTAAGTTAATCATAAGTAGTTTGACTTCTCTCTAGTCCAACTGAAGGGTACTGTTAGGCTCGTGGAGGTCTATCACAAGTCCTTTTTTGGGTCTAGCTTTCCCTCCAGTCCCAGATCGGATTGGAGGATACTGTTTGGCCCATGGAGGCTCATCACGGGTCCTGTTTCGATAATTCAAACCGTTCAATGTGTATAATTCGTCGAATATTATATACTTGTAAAAAATCACATTGATTAGATATTGATAGTTACATAATCATATCAGCTTTGTATTAAAAAAAATAGATGGTGAAAAAATAAACGGTTGACAGAAATCTGATCCGATAAAAAAGCTAAAAAAGCTATCAATATCCGATCAACGTGATTTTTTACAAATATATAGTATTCGATGAGTTCTACACATTGAACATGTCAGATTATCGAAACGGGACCC